AACTGAATTGAAAAATTTAATTGAGAGTGAACGATAAGCTAAACTCAAAATGAGACAGAACAGTGCAGTGATAAGCTAATCTGTGCACTGATATCTAATCTGACACAAAGCAGACTTTTTCGGATCCCATACCTCCTGCGTAACATGGCAGGCGTCATACTGAGCCATGAGACTGAGGTCTCTCCATGTGGTCTGAACAGAGTAGCCACACTGAGGAGGAAGCTGGGACAGTGGTACAGATGACTCATTCACTGGGACACAAAGAGACACCAAAACAAAAACATTCACTTCATTCTGATGAAGAAAAAAAAAACTGATAAATATAGAGAACATAAAAACACGGGTTTATGAGGGGCCGTCACAGACATTCAGAATTACTGTTCACACACTTTTCCTCTCACATATGAAACTCATTCACATACTATACGGAAAACAACACATGTGAAACTCAAATACACTGAAAAACTGAAAGACTCCTAAAAAATGATTGAAAAGCTTTCACATGTCCAGTCAAGTGCTCATATACACAGTTAAGATGCTCTCATAGTATTGTGAAAACCTTCTATATACTTAATAGACCTTTTATCAGGTTAATTAAAACAGAAATAAAAATTTTTAGTCGCAGTTTGGTTAGCTTTAAGCAACAAAACTACTGGGTTTGAATAGAACGCATGTTCTGGCACTTTCTGGCAGAAAGAAGGCCAACTTCTTCCCCTCATGCAAGCATGGGCGTCTGGCCAATCCTAGTGTTTGAATGCTACGCAGGGCGTGTCTTGCCAAGAAAAGCAGCGGGATTCATAATAATGCAGTAGGGACAAGTCAAATTCAGCAAGAGAACATGCACTTCCTAGTGTGGCGTCTTCCTGTTTCATTCAGACGAAAGGAAGGCCTTCCTTTTTAACTGTAAAGCTCTTATTTACTACCAAACTGTTATATTTCACCCCTGTATGAGCATGTTTTACTAATAAGTGTGAAAGCTTTTCAGTTGTTTTCGTGAGAACTTTTCAGTTTTGTATGTAAAAGATGTGTTTTTCAGTATAGTATGTGAAGGAGTTTGGTTTCTTGTGTGTATGAATAAGCATGGTAATTCTGTAATGTACTCCTACATAAGGAGAGAAACTTTAGAAAATAGAGTGAACCTCAACAGAAATTGGAAATTGAGGGTCGAGGACACCTGCTGCAACCTGCTGTGTAGTATATCTCCAAATTCAGGCTAACAATGCCACTGTCCCAGGCACAAAGCTGGAGTATTTGGAAGTGGAGAAGCTGTAGCCTCACCCCGGTTCAGCAGTAGTTGTACAGCTCGTCTCCTCCTGACAGTGAGGGTCATGGCGTCGTCTCCACACTCCACCACGGGCTGCAGCCTCCGCCAGCTCTCCTCCGAGCCGCTGACCCGCTGACCTCTAATCCGCTCCTGGCCTAGTAAACAAAAACAAACGGCCTCAGAGTTCACAACAGAGAATACAGGGTTAGTGTCTGTATTTTTATGCAACATGAGGAAACAGTTGAGTCTCTCAGTAAACGAGTCACCTACTGCAACTTTGATTTTGGATTCATAAAGAAATACATCTATTATATTGTGCATTTTTCTCACATTGTGTGGAAGGGGACAATATTTCTGAAATCTGCATTCCATTTGGTATCATTTTAGGGAGGCTTGACATTTAAAAAAGGGAGGCAACGGTGTACAGACTAGTACTGGTAACAACTACATTCAAACGGCATGGGCTGCGAAACATTTATCTCAACATATTGCACAATTGTACAAATTAAAAAATAAATGTCAAGTCAGTTGTGCCGTTTGTATTGTCAATAAAATGCTGCAAGCCGTATTTATTATCGTAAGTATTACGATAATCACAGTATAACTATCTTTCTGGCTCCAACTGAATAACAGTGAGCACTGTCAAACAACTCCAACATCAGGATTACAAGTTAAAATGGCAGAAATGCAGCTGAAAGGAGAAGAATGCAGATTTCCCTGAATTACTGTGTGAATTTACAGAGTCAAAGCCAAGGTCACCCAACACCAGACAACAGAAAGCTCTGTATGGACACAGAAAGCAGCAGAACTAGAAACGTCAATAGACAGCAGTCCAGCTGTAGCGTTACTAGCAATACAACCAGGGATACTTCCTGATCGCACCATAGATTTCACATTAATCATAAAAGATAAGGAGTTCAGAGTTGTAGTCAAAAATGAACAATTAAAACCTATAGAGAAGAACTTTCAAGGCATTACAATAGATAGTAGAGAGAAGACCATTGAGAGTTGTTTGTTCAGATTTAAGTTGATCGGTTTGAGAGCCAGAAGGTCAGATATATTGACTGAATTACAACAGACATTATACAGAATTCAAATAGACATTCACATTATACAGAATCCATGGGACTGAGTGGGATATTTCTGTGGATACCAGCACATAGTGGAGTCAAAGGAAATGAAAGCAGATACATTAACATACAGGATATAAGACAACACAGGGAGATGTGACTTCAGCAGACAAGCATTTGTATTTACTGTTGTGTTTTTATATCTACACTCCATATCAGTGAATGGCGCCAAAAACAGAACAGGAGGAATTCTGGGAAGAGCCCAGGTAGCTCACCTGAAACAGCAGCATCTGACTGGTAGCCCACATTAGGAGTGGTTGCTTCAAGTTGACCTTTAATGTAAAACTTGCCGTGGACGACAGGCGTCATTTCCCCGTTGCTACAGTGTTCATTCGGAGGGTCAAATGAAGTATACATCCTCTCCCCCTCGGTTTTCTCCAGGTCAGTAGACGCCATTCTGGGTTTGAGTGTCTGTTCCGGCCTCCCTCCAGAGGTTTTTGTCTGTGTCCTCTCCCTGTTTTCCAAGTAGTGAAGGTACAGGGGGTTTCTCGGCCGCCGCTGCTCTGCGCCCTCTCGGTTCGAGCGACCTGCGGGGCCTCCCGTCGTTAAAACGCGGTTCCTGCCATGATGAAAAGCCCCATGAGAGTTTGGTTGGGAGGACTGAACAGTGCGCTCACACCGGCCCACTGGAGGTAGGCTTATTGTTGTGATGGAGTAAATGAGAAGGACACCGACGCAGTATCCGTTTTGCTTCAAATGCATTGCAAGTAAGAGTTTCTATCTGCGCACCAAAACACTGGGACAGAGCGAGCAGCCGCACTGTTTATGTAGACTTCCTGCCAGCACACCTGCTCACTAATTGGCCTTAATCAGCCAGGCGCATGCGCAGTGTGATGACTGTTGCAGATTATTATTAGAACATTATTATTTTTATGTTCAAGGTTTCAAATGATCAGTGTTGGATAATGAGTCAAGTACTGTACTTAAGTAGTTTTTTGTAATTGTGCGTTACCTCATTTACATTTGCTTTATACTGCTTCTCCACTGCAGAGGAGGGAAATTAACTTTTTACCCCATTACATTTATCTCACAGATGTAGTTTCCACTTTACAGGTTGAGATTTTACATCAAAAAGAGACGTACGATAGTCTTACAAATCAGAATGCATTGCTAACAATTAAACCAATGGTTTCCAACCTTTTTGGGTTGTGACCCCTTACAAAGAATCAGTGTCTGGTTGGGGCCCCTTGTCACATTTCAGACGTACATGACATGTTAGAATCAACCAAAGAGAGATTTCCTCACTACATTTCTCTCAAGGATTAATTCAGACAACTGCTAAAACTATACAGTGTTTGACAAAAAAGCAAAGATTAAAGAGAGTCCAAAAAGGTATATACATTTGTGTATGTGTCTTCTTTCCTATCTCATGAATCATCTCACTATTCCACATGTATATTTTGTAGACTTTTTACCTGACAGTACCTCTGTACTATTACTGATGTAGGATTTTCAAACACTACTGGTTTAGAATTTGAATGCCATATACTTTTCTGTCCACTAGAGGGCAGCGACACTGCATTGCACTCAGTCAGCAATTGTGGAGGGTTATTTTTATGAACACAGATAAATTAATAGAGACTGTCTCTGTCTGTCTGTCAGTCAGTCATATATATATATATATATATATATATATAACTTTCTTCCATCTGTTTAATACTATTAACCATAATGAATAGGTGAATTCCTATTGAAAAAAGACATTTAGACTGGCATTTACTCATTACTTACATCTGTGGCCCTGCCCTTCAGGTCATCTGGCTCTTTTTAAATAATATCTTCTCTGTGGTGTCAAACTGAACCCATCATCTGAATGATAGAAATAAGTCATCCAGTAAGTCACGTTGGAAGATTAATTTACAGCCTAACTCCTGTATGTTATTTACATTTA